TAGTGTTAATTGTCACTTACGGGCCGGGCTGTACGTGAATATTTCGTAATTTGGCATGCTTAGGGAAAATTTGCATTTAAAATGAGTTTTTCTTTCTTGTTATTGTTGCTATTGCTGCTATTGTTTCATTGTTGTTGTTGTTGCTGCTCTGTTTTTGTAATTTTGCATTTTCAATTTGAGTTTAGCCTAAGCTAATAATAACATGAAAGTCATGGACGAACTGTCCGCATTAATGCATTAATTGTAATTACTTAATTATTTGCATAAATCAAAGTTTTGTTGCGGCGCCCAGCATTCATTTTAATGCAAAACGACATTCCCTGCCGCCCCCTGCCGCCCCCTACCACCCCCCTCACTCGATTGAAATGGCAATTAAAAAAGTTTCTGATGAAATGGATTGATGACTCTGAATCATCCTCGCCTACTTAATGACAATTTTATGTAGCTCGTCAAGTTGTCGTCTTTGCGTTTTATGAGTGGCTCAATGTAAGCCCTAAGCAGGACTTGATTCAGATTCCAAATGCCAGGCAATTAAAATTGAAAAGATTTAATTAAAGCAGAGGCAATCGGATTCATTGACGAATATTAATCGTAGAATGCTTTGCTTTGCTGAGAAAAGGATTAATCAGACGAGAAATTTAAATGGAAAGAAATGGATATACAGTATTCTTCTCCATATAACACACTTTAATGTAATTAATTTAATATATAAGCCGATTTTTGCTGTGACTTTTTAACATATTCAAAACGCGACGAATTCATAATAATCTCATCAAAGGAAAAGACGAAAACACCAACTGTCGGGGCAATCAAAAAGGTATGCCCATTTACATTGCCGACCTTCTCCCGCCCCACTCCGTGTAATTCTCTCTCGCCATACAATTCCCTTGCTGAGCTCTCGTACATTTCTCACTCTCGCTTTTTTTCTCGCCTTTTTTGTGGTTTTCTTATGTAAAGTGTCGCCGTCAAATGGCGTCGGACAAACTCAGCAAATGAACCGACCGAACGACCGACCGCACGCCTTGCCACATAAAGTGGGCGTGGCCGTTACGGCAAGGCCACGAAATCTGAACGCAGGAATCAAATTGAAATGACGCACTTAATGGCATTTATGGTTTATGCGCATTTTTATTATAATGCGACTTCGATTTTGTCTCTCTAGGGTCTGCCTCTTCGTCTGTCCGTCTGTCTGTCTCTTCGTCTGTCCGTCTGCAATTTTCCAACGTTTTGCCATTTTGGCCAGTTCATTTGGCAGGAGTAGGGCGCGACTGTCCAGCCGACTGTCGCCGACTGCAGTCACCCTCTCGCACGATTCATTTTGGCCAATTGGTAATTTTGTTATTAGTTACGCTCTTTGCGCTTCATTAATGTTCATTACACACAAATGAACCCACATCGATTGATATTTCTCTTCGTCTGGCGGTTACAAATTGCTCGCATATAAATATATATACATGTATCTATTTATATATATACATTTTTTATACGATTTGCGGTTGATATTCTGCGGCGTGCAATAAACGCGATGTCAGTATTTTTTTCTTTCTTTCTCTCTCTGTATTTATTTATACGATGGCTTAAAGGGTTGCCCGCCTAATATATTTAATTATAAAAATAAACATACACACACATACATACACATGGTGTATTTATGTAACCACACATACACATGCCCCTATATACGTGTGTGTGTGCAATATTTATTGAGGAAACTTTGAACTTTTGGGTTATGCGTCACATATGCTTGGGGGGGAGGCGACTGCGAGCGAAGTTTCGAGGGGTTCGACGCAGTTCACAAGAAATAAGAAAATAAAATTTATTGACGCAGCGCTCGGCACGCTTAATTGAACATTGCCAACTTGAAAGCCATATCCACTCGCTGATTGACTGAGCCAGCCGAACGCAATTTTTTATGACCTTTGAAACTTTGAAGCATGTAATTCGTTCTATTCCTTCCCAGGAGTTATTTAAATGGGCATTTGATTATGCGCCTAAGCAGCTGGAAATGTGGCCAGAGCCTGACCCAGAGCCTTGTTGTTGAAAGTGCAAGCGGTTTTTTAGTTTTTCCTCTTTGGCCTTTTCTTTTTTCTATTTTCCCTTTCCCTTTCCCTTTCCATTTCTCGTTCGAGTTTTTCTTTTTCAGTTTGCTTAGAAATTGTTTATTCTGGCTTTGCATTATTTTGGGTTAATTTGGTTATCTAATATAAAAGTGAACGAGCCCAAAGGGGTTGCCCAGGACCGCAGGCCACTAGGGGTTGATTATGCCACTTGAGCGGCTTAGGTTAAAACCATATGCTCAGCTCCAGTGCACTTTGAAGTGGCATGGAAAATATGATAAGCATATTAATATGATTTTCATTTTATTTTCGTGGCAGCAACAAGAACTTTGATTGAAATTGAAAAAGTGAAAGGAATGAAAAGCCTGAGCCCTGGGATAAGCCAGGGAAACATATTTACTAAAAAAGAACGGTACAATATGTTGCTAGGGAAGTGCACATTTTTAGATATTTAAATATATTTAAATTATGTGTACAATATATTATCCAATCAGTTCATGGACCTTCGTCTCGCACTATTTGTTTGTATCCTCACTCAATTTACTTGCTTTGCCTTCGGCATGACTTGTCCCCCAATCTTGAGTTGTTGCAATAAATTTCACGTTTGATTTCATTTGTTTTTCTTGCCGTACAAATTATTTGCATCCGTGGGGCATTCTGCCATTTTTTTGTTTTGTTTAATTTGCACAATTGCCGCTCATTAAGCACAGTTAAAATCCAAACAATTAATAAATTTTTAAGTGCAGCGCAAATTATGCACCTCTTGACCGACCCCTGGGCCCCCCTCAGCTCCACAAAAACCGTCGCTCGTCAACTGTGGGCCGCACCACCTGCCCGCCTGCTTGCACCTGCTAACCGCTCTGCACACAATACATTATTAATTTAACGACCCCTCTGCCCCTGCCCTCTGCCCTGTTTCAGGACCTGCTGCACGCACAACAAATGGCGCTTAATTTGCCAAATGGTTGGAGCCCCTGCAGCCTTGGGTAGTTGGAATGCTTTTCTTTTCCTTCTTTCACTGCTTATACTCTGCTGGCAAAGCTCAAAATGAGTTTGTTGATAAGGAAACTTTGTAAGTATATTTCTATATACTTGGCATTCTGTTTGTTATTAGTTTCAGAGTTCGAAAGGAGCTTTACGTTGGCAGTAAACAGAGTATCTGCAGTGCGTATACCCGCATTTGGTCTGTTTTGCTGTATGTTTCAGTGGGTGTTGCAAAAATATGAAACGCTCCAATGCACAAAGATGTAAAATACCTTGACTGGAAAATTCACAAAAAGCGGGCGGGGGGCGGAAGAGGCATAAAGCGAGCAGGCAAAAGTAAACGAACAGAACAGAAGCAAAGCTAAGTGAAATAAAGCACAAATGCAAAGGGAAACAAAAGTAAGAGCCAAATTTGCAACTTTGTGCAAACTTAAGCGAACAGAAAGGCCAGCCAGCAACGAAATTCATTAAAACTTTCCATTGTGTTTCAAAAATAACGAAAGACCAACAACAGCCAGAGAGGAGCTGGCGAGGAGTAGAGGGGGAAACACTAACCCATTGCGAACTAATTTGTCTGGCGATTTAGTAAAGATTTCGTTGCCCACATACCCTCGGCCAGTGGCGAGGGCTGTTAATGATGCGACAAACCCAATTAATACGCCAGACAAATAAAATGGTCAGCCAAAGACAAGTCGGAAAAACCGTTTAGCTACAGCAATAGCCAAATGTATATCTACACACGCACACACACACACACACACACACACACAGAGACAACAAACAGACGCGAGCGTGCATAATTTTTTCTTTCCTTTCTATTTTTGGGGCAAGCACATCCTAGTATATCTTAATATATGTATATGTATATGTTATGTGGCTGGCTCTAGGAGGACGGGGATTGTCGCCAGGACTGTCTGCCCGTCTATTTGACGACTGTGCGTGTGTGTGTGTGAGTGGTGCGTGTTTGTTTTAGTTAACCAGAAAGTTTTCTTAAAGATTTACGCTTAAGTTTTACGTGATAAAACTTTTATCACTATGACATTCGGCTCTGCTCTGGCAGCCGCACGAGCCGAAGTGCTGCGCGCGTCTTGCAGAGCTCTGCTGAGGCCAATTGCCAGCGCTGTCGACAGTGGAGAGTCGAATGAAACTGATACTGGATCGGCATTTGTTGGGCAACGATTAATATGTCTTTAAAGTTAAGTGATGTCATCTGATATGCGTAGATGGAGGAATATCGGATGCTGCTGGCTGCTGCAAAACACTCTGAATGCCAATCTCCTTTTATCAGCTCATCCGACATGACACTGTGCATTCCAGCTAATCATCGAGTTGACGTGGCCAACACTCATTCAACAGTCGGCAATTGGGTATCGTAAAGTCACGTCAGGCATCACACAAGTCAATTAAGTTGATCACATATTGAGATAAAATATTTTCGCCCAGCAGCAGATTCTATGCGAATAACTTTAATCGTGTCCTTTTCGGCAGCTGGGGCCGTGGAGCAGCCAAGTTGTGTTTATATTTGCTTGAGGATATTGGTCCAAGCTCATGTACGACTCATGTTCGTCGTCCCATGCAGCTATTTGCCAGCCCCAGCCCCAGCCCCAGCCCCAGCCCCAGCTCTAGTCCCAGTCCCAAAAACAAAATATGTATATCCGCTAACAGGTTGGGGGTATGTACGTGCCGCTGCTTACTCCCCCCGGGAATCAGTTAAGTATTTTGATGGCAGCGCTTATATCATCAGTCCAAAACTCAAGACCTAAGAAACTTTTTATTAACATAAATTATGACGCACAAACACACACACACACACACATACATGCACACACATGGCGGCACTCGTTATGAGAATGTGAGAGAGTGGGCGAGTCAATAGTTAAGCATGGCACAAGTGAGTGCATAAATTTCACTTGGCACAAACTTTGGCCAATATATCTATTAAACGTCGACGGTGCTTACCGTTATGGCGATGTCATGGCTGGCATCGCATGTGTCCAACTTGCGGCGGAAGCGTAGCACGGTGTGGGTGGCATTCTCGTAGCCCAGCATCAGCATGTAATCCTGGGAGGGATCCACGACGGGCTCCGTGTCGCCGTTGCGTGTGACGTGTCGATCCTGCAAGCAGAGAGAAGAGCACAAGAAAATTGTGTGTGAGCTTTTCCACTTTGGTTATTAATTGAAAAATTTACGAAAATATTTAATTTGCAGCATACTTTTCTGCGGCAGGCGCAAGCTCAAGCTCAAGCCCCACCAACAGCTCCCGGGCACACATTCATGTCATTTAACAAAATACACATACATATTATATATTAACGTATATATATTTATATATGTCTGCTGCGCTTGGCGCCCAGCCACAGGCACTTCGTAAGCTCCCAAAACTTGTGTGCATAACTTCCACGCAGCATCTGTGCGATGCGTTTTTCAGTCCTCCTTCATTTTTCTCATATACCCTGCATTTATGCAGCGCTCAAAAGGGAGTACTCCATGGCTCAAGCACGTCGGCTATTTTCAGCAAATATACATCCATTAAAGACCATTTGGACCAATCCAATAACATGTACACAGCTTTATAGCTATTCGCCTTGAGCTTTAAACTACATTCTACTTATTTCATATAAATTGTCAGAATTTTATTTGTGTTAATGCTTAAAATGTACACGGGCCCTTCTTATGTTTACTTTCAGTCTCCCTTGGACCCGGTTGCTCTTCGTTTCGCCTCCTCGAAATGTTTTCAGACTTTTACCAAGTTAAATTTGAGTAGGCGCTCCACCTTCATAGAGATGAAACCCCTTTCTTGACTGAGGTTTTTTTTTGCCTTTCGACTTGTTCGATTCCTTGGCACATGTTGGCCAGGCCTCGACACAGACGCCAGATGAGTCTGAGCTGAGCGTTGGGTGTATGCGATGTAAATTCCTATGCACACACACATACACTCACAAATACATTTGTATGCATGTATTTTGACAGGCCACTGTTGAAAATATTTGGGAGTCGCTTCTTTTTTTTGAGTGAGGGTTGCTCGGCTGCAGGGTCGGAGGGGGGCATTGGGGCATGCTCTGTGATTGTTGTTGGGCGGCTGCTTCGCATATTGGCAGTTGACTGCAAATGGGCGTTGTGTTTGCTATGCTCATGGCACATCCTTGCCAGCATGCGGCAGGACCTCTTGTGTTGTTTTTGGTATGGCAACAATTTTTTGATGATGTTGCAAAAGTCAAAAGTGCCCCCCATCGCCCATACCCACTTCAGTTCACTTCAGTCTGCTGCCAGCAGAGCACGGGTAATTGAAGCTGATGGAATTTTTGAGTAGTTTTCTATGTAGATATTTCAAATTTTTATTGATTTAATTATTTGCTGTCGTGTGTCATTTGTTTGACTGAAATCAAAGTGGTTCAGCTCTTAATGCAGTTACAGCCACATGTATGAACCAAACATGTATCTATATATCTATGCAGAGTGAGTGCTGCTCATATTGCACATTGACATTCTTTGAATGAGGTCGTATATGTGTGTGATGCTTTTAGAACACATTTGGGTTATGTTATTTCAGTGTATGCCCAGATGAAAATAACATTTAAATGACTTGAAGTGTGGTGGCTCTGGATTGAAAAGTGAATAATTGATTGATTGAATTGAGTGCTAAGCAATATGTTGAATATACTTATGCTAGATTACACTTCACTATCACATTGAATTTTCAAACAATTCTTTCAGCTTAATTTTGCATATGTTGCAGCTGAGAAGGATGTATACTTATGTTTGGTAGACATGTTCTCATTGGTGTTTGATCAATTTTTAGCTTTTGTGTAAGTGTAAGCGAGACAAATAGCATTCGCTCATGTCTAGCATTACTCTGCTATAGTACTGAGTAAGAATATAAGACTTCAGCAGGCAAGAGCCGTTGGCAAACGCAGGCATATACCATAGTATGTGAGTGAGCGAGAGAAACTTATCAATTTCATATACTCTTATAAGACTGAGCAAGAATATGAGACTTCAGCAAGCCAGAGCCTTTGACAGTCGTAGACATTTAAAATAGTATGCGTGGGAGCGAGACATAATTTTCTAATACTCTTGTACAAGACTTAGCAAGAAGCCTTTAGCAGTCGCAGGCATATATAATCGCATATGTGAGAGTGAAACAAACAGAGTATGCAACTGACATACTCTTCTTGAGAGTATCAGAGTAATCAATGTGCATGATGTGTGGCGGCATATGAAGAGAACAAACTCTTAGGACGATTACTTTTTAAGCGATTACTTTTTATGAACGATTGGCCACCTCTAGCTAATGTTTACAATTAATCTTCTCGCTCGCGTGCTCGCACATTATATAATCTTGCGGCAGCTGCTGGTCAATTTATGTTCTCACACACCAATATGGATTCGCTTGGTATTGGTAAATGTTCTATCATCTTTCATCCCTATCAGGCACACAACTCATACATAGGAAGCGTTTATATCTGCACTGAGGCAGCGATGTTCCGTTTCTCAGGCGTAGCCTCCCACTTCTCCACTGATACATTGCCCAACATTATGGAGTGAAACTTTTCTGCTCGCAGCTCTCGGCGCTTCCATCATCTAATTACAACTGAAATTTTCACACACCTGAGGCAGATGCAATTAATTTGCCCCAATTTATATCATCATTCCACTAGCAGTTCCTACGCCTCCTCTCCCACCCACTTCGCCCCCTCACCGCACACACTCCGCTCTCCCAACAACATTGTCCTGTTGCGTGTTGCGTGCTGCGTTGCCCACAATTACATGCCAGCATTTCATTAATCATATCACACGCTGCGCCATTTGCCATTTAGCTGGCTAATTAAAAGTTTGCACAAAACATTTAACATAAATTCTGCTAAATTTCTATAGTATGTATATACTATATATATGAATATTTCGTATCTATGCAAGAGATAGAACATTTCGAACTGTCTGCCTGTCTGCCTGCAATCAGCAAACGCATAATTCAAGATCTGTAACGCGCAGTTCCGTTCCCGTTGCCATTGCCGTTCCCCTCTCCCCATCCTCCTTGCCCCTTTTGCCTTTTGCCTTTCCCCTTGCTGTTTTGCACAGTTTCCCTTTTAATTTTACATTATCTACCTCTACATACACACACATTCGCACATTCGCACACCTTGACATGTTTCTCGCTTATCGCAACAGCAGCCAAAAGTCGCGTATACGTCGCGTATGCCGAGAGAATTGCGAGCATTGCGAGCGGCGACGGAAATTAAAAATACGCGCTGCAATGTTGCAAGCACCCAAGCGACGTTATCAAAATCAGCGTGTGCGTGGGCGTGGCAGGCGTCAGGGGGCAGCACTGAACTGGAGTGGCGCTGCCTGCGGGTGACGCGTTGTGCGGTAATTATGCAAAAGGAAGGCGCATAAATTTGCAATATTCTCAGCTGCTGCTGCTCTCTTGTGTTTCAAAAATGTTTCAAATGCCAACGACGTTTTAACTGCTCACAACTTTTTATGCGTGCAGCTCAAATGCCGCCAATTGCGTCTTTAGAACCCTAACCCACTGCGGGTACTCTGGGCAGAGTCAGGCAGTTTGCAACCTAGTTGTAAATGGCCATAACTGAAGAGCACTATTCACATACCACATACCATTCAGCAGTCAGTTGGGGAGCAGCTCGTGAGCCACCAACGGGATAGAGTATTTCAGATTCGATGAATTGTCGCATTCACTTTCTCATTCACTTAAAGTTGCATGCCAGGACAGCGTAGTGCGTGCAAAGTGGGACTTTCTGGGTTGGAGTTGGCTGGTTGCTGTTGGGACTTGGCCCTGGTCTTGGTCTTGGTCGCCGTTGTCAACGCACACGTTTTTTTAATTGCTGAAATTTTATCACACCTTCATGGCTGGCAGGACTCGTAAATTGTAATCCTTGTGCGCTCTTTGCCAGGGCCGGCTCCTGCTTGAGCAACGATGACGTCGCCGGTTTCCTTGCCCTCGTTTGCCCTTTCAGTGCTCGATGTTGTCATTAACGTCGCTGCCTCTTAAGCATTTAATAGCCTTGTCAAGACTTTAATGCCTTTTAGCTGCCGCCCTCTAATATGTGAAAGAGCGCAGTACGCTCAGAAAAAAAAAAGAGTGCGAGCTGTGTGTGTGTGTGTGTGTGTGTGTGGAGGGGAAATCAATAAAAGCAACGGCAAATTAAGCACCTTTACGCCGCTTCTCGAAGCAAGCAGGCAAGCCGCAGCGGGAATTTAATAGGATTATGCAACATTGACGTTGCGAGCAAAGCCAAACAAACTTATGTAAAGCCTGTCACTGCACTTAAGAGCCATACCCATACCCATGCCCATGCTCATGCCCATTCCTCAGGCCTTGAACCCTTTCGGCATCATAACATGCGCCTAATTGTGCTGATTTTCGCTTGATGAAAACTTTTGACACAGACACACACACAGACACAGACACACACAACAAACAAGCCGCCCATCAACAGCTACAGCAGCAGCAACAGCAGCAAGTGGCATTCCAAGTTTTGTTACGCCAAAAACAAACTTTAGCAATTTATGATAATTCAACGTCAGCTGGGACAGTTCAGTGCTCAGTATACACTTGAAGTACTCGCTATGTATCGAGAGTGCAGGGGACTAGACCCAGGCTCAGTCCATGACTGAGATGCTGCTAATGTAAGCTGGCAGGAGGCAGGCGTAATGGGAGGCAGGCAGGCAGGCAGTCAACCATCAACAACAACTGACAGCTGGCTAGCAGCGAAAAGCTCAGCGATAGACAGACAGAGAGACAAAGAAAGAGAGCAACAGTGAGAGAGAGACGGAGAGATTGATATGGCAAGACAGAATGAGAGAGTCTTAAAATATGCTTGTAGCACACATTAAACTTATTACCCCCACAATATAACCCCTCAACTCTCTGCCTGCCCCTCACACACACACACACACACACATAGTACATCTTTACATGCTCAGATTTTGCTTTATAAACAAATGCATACAGCAAAAGGGTTGGCTGCACACAGCACACAAATATCAAAATGCCAGCTATCTATCTACCCAGATGTGTATATATAATGTACACATATTTGCCTAGATATAGTCGATGCCGCATGCACAGTGCAGTGTGGGTGGGTCGGCGAGTT